AAAATAGGCTGGATGACTCTGGCACGTGAGTGCCTGAATGTGCCTGAATGAAGAGGAGTCCTGCTCCTGATTGGTCTTGTTGGAGGAGAGAGGGTGTGAGATGGGATGATCTGGCAGGTGTCTCTGGTATCCTGATGCTGACAAGTACTCAGTCCGCTGAGTGTGCCTTGGCATTGTGGGCAAGACGTTATGGTTGTATGCAGGATTTAATTCAGCCGCTTTCTGTTTCACTGATGGCGGTGACACTTTGATGTGGAAAGGAAGTGATGTATCAGGAGGAGGTGTGGTAGGGTCGAAGTCCTCCTGAGCCTGATGTTGCAGATATGCCTCTGTTTGCTGTCTGATTGTCTCTAGTGAGATGCCGCTCCTTCTTCGCAAAGCCTTCTCTGCTGGCCTAAACAGAATCACAAAGTTATAGCTATTTTATAATTCTATAATTTTTCTTAAATACACTACATGTATTATAATTTATAAAAATATTTTTCCCATTATCTTATTTTCTCATTGCACAGCTACTGTCTTCCTCAGTTGCTCTGCTTCCAGTGCAGCTTGTTTTAAGTAGAGCTTTTATCCAATCAGATTTCACCTCTGTGTCTCTAAGTAAGAAGAGAGGCCCGAGGCCTGCAGACTCACAAGTGAATCCCTTTGCAGTTTAAGTGAATGGGGACAATATTGTTGATTGTCATAGTGTTCAACCAATCAGATCTTTAGTTTGACATGTTGGGCGTATTCTTTGACATGCCAGAGCCTGCTAGCTGGCCTAGCCATACGTGATTGGTCAGTGGGCTAGTGTGACATGTTGGGCGGTGACAATCCCAATATCTGCTGCCTCTGTCAAGCGGACATTTTCAGCCCTCAAACACATTAAAACCTATTCAAGAAATAGAACTGGGGAGGCTCGACTGTCTTCGCTGGCGTCCATGAATCCAGAAGGACTTCTTACTAGAACTAAAATGCACGGATGTACTGAACACCGTGAGATTGAACTCTTTGTTAACAAAGAAAGGAGGATGCACTTTGTCTTTAAATAGTGAACAGCAGCTTTGGTAAGTTAAATGCATTTTTTACATCTACAGTAGCTTTAATATGCTTGTTTATATATTATTAGTTGTACAACTTGTTTTTATGAAGATGGATTTTTGTTTGGTTTTATATGTGATAGGAACCATTGTTACATCCAATGTTGCTCTGGGGACATATTTAGCCGGTGCCTGTGTTGGCAACTTGCTCGCTAAATCTGGCGACTTTCCAAACCCTCATGGTGACTTTTTTTGTCAAAAGCTACTAGCGACAAATCTAGCGACTTTTTCTGGTGCTATTGGAGACTTTTCTGGTGTTTTGACTGTCGTGAACGAGCAGCGGGTGCTGCCGTGAGCCCCAAAGCACTCACAGGCGGGTACTCTCACAGAAGCCTTGCGCAGCAGTCCCAGCTGCAGTCAGAGCAGAGAGGAGACGCACTCTCGGCGTATTCTCTGCAGTTAGTGTATTTATAGGTGTTGGCTTCATTTTTACATAAAACAAATAATAACCGTAGCTGTGTTTCAGCTGCAGGACAGCAGTGAAGGCCCAGGTATAAAATGCACAGCCCGCCCCTGGTTTATTCAGAGTTCAGGGTTATTTTATTCAGAGTTCAGGGTTGGTTTACTCAGAGTTCCCGGTTATTTTATTCAGAGTTCAGGGTTAATTTGTTTAACCTGCTTTCTGGGCCCACTTTTCTTCTAATATTAGGCCCACTAACAGAGCTTTTGGTTTAAATCTTGGATCCCAGATAACTTTGGCATGATTTAATGTTTTGAGAGCATCTTTTATAATATTGACATTTGAAGTCTATATCAACCTTTTTCCTGACTTGTTTGATCCAAAGATTTCCAATAACTCCACAGCGTTGTGAAGTCCAAAAGTTAAAAGTTTTTGAAAAAAATGCACATGTTTTTATCGAACAAAATATTCTGCTTCAATCCATATTTGTTAGCATTTAACCTCAACATTTTCACTGCGGTCAAAAAAATGTTTGCTCTCCCTCCACGCACACCAAAGGAAGCAGCACTGATGACTTATATTTATTAAAGAAAGTTGATTTATTAAAGAAAAACATCAACTCATTTTATAAAATGAATCACTTTATCCAAATTCATGATAGGATACATTGACAAGAAGCATAGGCCTATTGGATTAGAATTGCAGCCTTCACCTTTATTATTGATGCTTAATGAATAATGTGGGATCACTATTTTCACATCATGGAGTGCTTTTTGGGGTACAATATAATAATCTAATAAAAAAAATAAAAAAATGCTTTATTTAAATACTGACCTGATGTTGGTTACTAACTGTCAAAGGTTCAGGTCAGCCTAGTTAAGAGTCAAACGCAAGCACACATGTGCGTCTGCATGGCTGAGTAGTACTAATCAAACACAGATGTACATACATACATGCATACAGACATGTTGGACTATAAATAAATGCTCAAATGCACGTATACGTGCGTGTCCTAATTAGTGTTTATTGGAGTCCAGCTAGTGAAATGCTAATGCAGACAGGACAGCTGCTGAGAACTAAACACTCATAACATGCAATGATGCAACATGATGATGCCGGAATGTTGTTGGTTTTTGTTAATTAGGTTTCTGTCAGAAGGGGGGAGGGTGGGTTACTTCACAACAGATGGTGTGTCTTTGTGTGGTGAGGTGAATGAATTGTGTGTGAGTTTACTCTAATTTTGCAATCTTTTCTTCAGCATCTAATTATAGAAGTGCAAGCATGTCTGTGTCGGTGTGTGGGTATTTTTATAATAACATGCACTGATGTCTTAAGGTCTTGATGTGTTTATTAGTGAGTGTGGGTGTGTAAGTGTTACTGAGTGAAAACATTCTGTGTGTGAGATGTTGTGGGTTTTTGTATGTGTGTATTGTCATTTGTGACTTTGATGCTGTGACACAGCAGCTGGATGCATACAGAGAGACAGTAGTTAATAGACCCACTGTGCGTGTGTGTGTGTGTGTGTGTTGTGTAGTTGTGGAGTGCTGTCACATCCTGCTAATAAATTGACACCAACAGATGCAGGAACTGGAGTCAGATGCTCCTGGCTTGTTAGCATGTCAGTCTGATGTCTAATGTAACATAAACTCTACTTCTCCTCCAAGACCATCACCTCCGTCACCCACTCCACTCTCACCACCTGTCTCACTCATATAAAATCATGGATGCAACAGAACTTTCTCAAACTCAACTGCAATAAATCTGAAATACTCATCATCGGCCCTAACTCTCTCACCCGTTCAGCCCAGCCCTTCTCCCTCAACAATGATGGCTCCATCGTCACCCCCTCCACACAGGTCTGCAACCTCGGTATCATCCTCGACCCCACCCTCTCTTTCCTACCCCACGCCAACCACATCACCAAGACTGCCTTCTTTCACCTCAGGAACATTGCACGCCTCCGACCCTCCCTGTCCTCTGCCACCACCGAAATTCTCAACCATGACCTCCAGACTCGACTACTGCAACAGCATCCTCTATGGTTCTCCCAACAAAATCCTCAATACACACAAATTAAAGTACTCCACCTGGAATGACGTTCTACTGTCGTTCTACTGATGACAGAAAAGGCATCTGGACAGAATGAGTAGAACTAAAAATGTATTTTGCAAAAGGTCAAAAATATAATCTACCCTGGTTAAATGAGTATCATTGGAGGTTAATGAAGCAGAGACATAGCATTGAAGTCAGCTCTTCAATCTGGTTTATTACATAAGAGAACATTTCAGGAGTTGTGAAACAAAGTAGTAAAAGAACTGAGACAGGCTAAAGATGGTTATTTTATTAAACTAATCAACAAATCTGGGATATTAGCAAATTTGTTGAGGAAAATATGAATAAGATTAATAGGAGGGTAAAGCAGATCAAAATTTGGTAATAAAGAACAATCAAAAGTGATAGAAGATAAATAACCAATAGCTACAATCTTGAATTCATCCTTGTAGACTCGGTACAGTATTAGGCCAAGAATTTTGGTGTGAGATTAAGTGTCTGAACCTGAAAAAAACAGTTTTCACAATTGAAAATGTCTTAGAATCTGCAGTAATAAAAGTCCTTGATCTTAGTCAATAGTTGTCTTTAATATTGATTTGTTAAGAAATATAAGTTTATAACTTTAACTCATCTGATAAATCTATCCATAAAGCTTGTATTTATTATAGTATCCTCCCTGTAGCTTCTAACATGTCATTTAGTCTGTCATTTAAATGAAGGTGAATTTTCTCTACACCAAAAGCATAATTTAATAGACACAGCAAATAGATTGTTTGTTCAATATATCAAAAGTTATCTTGATAAAAGTGGTGCTGTTGGAAGCATGATTTTAGATTTGACACAATCAATCCTAATGTTTTACTTTCAAATGTCTACATTTTATTTATCTGTTGATGCCCTGTACTGGATGAAATCCTTGAAAATAAGCTCTAGTACATATAACAATGTACTAGTCGGTGATGCGTGGTCCTCATATGCTAGTTGTACAATAGGGGTCGCCCAAGGGTCTATTTTAGGGCCAATCTTATTTGAATGTATATTAATGATCTTCCTCAAGTATGTTCAGATGTTAGCATCCAAGTGTATGATCATGATGCTGTGATTTAAACTTATGCAAGATCTAAAGACAATGCCTCCCTCCTCTCCCTTTTTTAAAGTCCTCTTTATTATTCAAGCAGCAAGCTAACCCACAGTCAGTCAAACATGTACCAACATTCAAAACACACTAATAACTGCATCTGTGGCTCCCTCTCTTTCTTTCTCTCCCATTCTCTCATTCAATGTTAATAGAAAAAGCCATCGTGTCTGACACCTACAACTAATTACAATGTCACTTTGCTCATTTGGCTTACTGGCACCACGGAGTGTGTGTGTGTGTGTGTGTGTGTGTGTGTGTGTGTTTGTGTTTGTGTTTGTGTGTCTGTGTTTGTCTTTTATCTAATTGTTTTCTCTGCTGTTTTCTGTCTCAGGTCTGATCACCACAACCTCCAGGAAACTGGACCGTGAACAACAAACAGAACACGTTTTAGAGGTGAGGACTGTGTGTGTGTGTGTGTGTGTGTGTGTGTGTGTGTGTGTGTGTGTGTGTGTGTGTGTGTGTGATAAGCGATACAGGACAAAGAATGAAAACATCAGTGTGATAGGGGCAGCAGAGGGTAGATGATAGACACAGCTCTGAAGGGTTTTGCGTTGGTATTATTGTAAAAATATATATTATTTTATTGATAATACTTAAGTGATGAGCGATGACTCAATATTAAGCTTGTATCTCTCTAGTTTGTAGAATCGACTGACTTTTCATTTTCAGACAGCAGAACACTGAGAAGTTGAAATAATTGTTGGAATGCTATTGTTATCCTGTTTCTCTTTATTCTTCTTCTTATATTTCTTCCGTCCCACCTCTTCTTCTTCTTCATTTTTTAAGCTACAGAAACCGTTCAACTATCAAAATGTTCAGCTCTTTAATGACATTCTGCTATGACTTTTCATATTTCTATCTCTTATGCTTTATGAATTATTAAGCTTTTTGCAATTTTAATTTTGAATGGGATTTCAATGGAGAAAATATCCTCTCCCTATCCAAATCCTCTTAAACTTCTTCAACTTTCAAATCCTTCAACTTCCTCATATTTTCAGCTACAGACACCATTTCAACTTTAAAATGTTGAGAAAACCCTGATCTATTGCCACATTATTCAGCATTTTTATATCTTTTACACTTTCTGAGCTGCAGCAATTTAACTTTTATGATTTTTTCAGTCCTTTTCTGACTTTATAATGGGTGTGTATTGCGCAGCTTAGAGTGCGTGATGTCACCGCTAGAGTGAAGAGCAGCTTGAGATTCTTGTGAAAAAAACATTTGTTTTGCTACTGTGTCCACAATCTTCACTCTTCATGCATAATTTTAGATTTAAAAGTAGCTAATTTTGTCCTTGTTGTAGACAAATTACTGTGGAATCCCACAGATTTACACATTTGGCACAGAAGCCTATAATTGAGAGGAAACTTTCTGCTCCATAGAGACCAATGTTAAATTTTGCTTCAAAAACATCTTCCACAGAACACGGTACCCCATTTCTAGGTCGCCAGTTCAGCCACATTTTTTACACTACAGACACAATTTTTACAGGATCTGTTCTTCAACTCATCCTTCCTCTCAATTATTAATATCGGAGCAATAGGAGCTACGGTTATGGGAGTTTTGAGGATTTGTTTGAGAGGTGTTTTCCTGTTTTATCTCCATGAAAAGGCTGCAAGGACACAGGTGTTTCTGATTAAGCTAATTAGTGATGTTGATAAACACAGAGAGGCACTGGCACATGCACATACACTCCTCCCCCTCTCTCTCTGTGTGTGTCTCTCTCTGTGTGTGTGTGTGTGTGTGTGTGTGTGTGTGTGTGTGTGTGTGTGT